AAAATGTACCATTCAGTGGCATTTAGTACATTCAACATATTGTAAAACTCTCACCTCTAGCTAATTCCAAAAGATTTGTCACCTTATATTCAGGAAGCAGTGACTGAGCCTACAAAATCTCTATTTACAAATTTATTTGCATTCATCTAGCTCTTTTAATAGAAGAGGAAATGGAGGCTTTGGGAATTTAAGTACCTTGCCCAAGATTATACACTTAGTAATGGTACAAGTGGGATTTCCCCAGGCATACATTCCTAATGAAATCAGGAGTTGCCATTGAGTTGATTCTGACCCATGGCAATCTCATGTGTGTCCAAGCAGATTGATGCTACAAAAGATTTTCAGTAGCTGATTTTTTTCAAAAGTAGATTTCCAGGCCTTTGTTCCAAAATGCCTCATGATGGATCCAAACCTCTAACCTCACCATTATTAGCTGAGCATACTAACTGTTGGCAACATCCAGGAGCTCTTTTTATGAAAAAAGAGAACAGGCATGATTCCCCAGCTATTGGTTGATCCCTATGGGAGCTGCTATTTCTGACTATGGCCAGTGCACCGTACCCTTCCCTTTCCTACCTGGACACATCTGATGTTCCTTTTGGCAAAGACCTGCCTGAGGCTAAGGCAACCCCGTCCTGTCAAGCTCTGTGACAGATGTTGTCAATTCCTCCTGCTTTTTCAGATTGGCTTCACCACAGACCCCCGAATGGCTCGCTCCTCACCATATCCCACAGACGTGGCCCGTGTGGTTAATGCACCCATCTTCCACGTGAACTCAGATGACCCAGAGGCAGTGATATATGTATGCAGTGTGGCAGCTGAGTGGAGGAACACCTTCAACAAAGATGTCGTTGTAGACCTGGTGGGTGTGGGGGGAGGGTGAAGGCGTGAATGCTTGTCCCTGTCGTGCAGAGCAGGGCCATGTAGGCATCAGCATCTGCAGCAGTCAGGTCCAAGAGCACTTCTTGGACAAAAAGGAGTTGGCGATCCCAGGAGCCACTTGTGCAGAATCTAAGGGTTGGGACATTCCCTGGTGGGTTGGTGTGCCCTGCTTGGCAACCTGTGGGTCCAACCGACAGTGGTCACCTGCCTTGAGTAGGGCCTCAGCCTCCTTGCTGCTTCTGCAGGTTTGCTACCGCCGGCGTGGCCACAATGAGATGGATGAGCCCATGTTCACACAGCCGCTCATGTACAAGCAGATCCACAGGCAGGTGCCTGTGCTGAAGAAGTATGCAGATAAGCTCATTGCTCAGGGCATCGTCACCCTTCAGGAATTTGAGGTGAGCCTGGGTACCTTGGGTAGGTCTTAGATGGACCTTAGGGGTGGGAAGGAGAGGAGCCTGTGTGACTGTGAATTCTGGGATTTAAAGATGTTGCTGCAATGGTTCTTGTTCCCATGGGCCCCTAGTTTTGCTCTGAGACTGCCTGGTTGGATGAGTGCTGTGATGTAGGGATATCCTACCGTAGCCAAGAGCCAGGGAAGGATGTCTTTCCAAGGTGGCCCAAACTGGCTTTGTTATCTGTGGACCTGTAGTTCTTCATCTTTGGAGAGCTCTGAGAGCAAGGGCTGACTGGCCTTCCTGTGTCTCCCCAGTTCTTGCTGAACACGTGGCAGGCCTGCTAGGAGCCCTGTGAACTTGAGACTGACCCCTGTCCCCTTGAGGCTAGTAGAGAGACAATTACAGAGGGTGGTGAGGGGGCCCAGGGCTTCTGAATCTGTACATCCAGCCTCTGGATGCCCAGGACATCACAGCCTCAATCCATCAAATCCCAGGAAGAAATTGCCAAGTATGACAGAATCTGTGAGGAGGCTTATGGCAGATCCAAGGACAAAAAGATCCTGGATATCAAACACTGGCTGGACTCTCCTTGGCCAGGTAAGTAAATAAGCAGTGTTCTTCAAGTGATTTTCCGGGGCCATGAGCTCTGACCTCCCCTGGAGGCATGGGTACTAAGACTAGAGCCGCCCAGGCAAAAGCAATCACTACCCAACTCAGAGTGTCCTGGCTCTCTTCCTGAGACCAAGAAGCTATTTGGGTGTCTATTTTCTTAGTGTTTTTAAAATTTTAGCAGTTTTATTGACATATAGTTCACATATCATACAACACATATGAAGATGTGTTGTGAAATTATCACCACAGTCAATTTTAGAACATCTTCTTCATTTGTGCCTTATTTCTTTAGGTCAGGGAGAGGAAGAGGCAGGATGCTTCCTAGAAAAATGGGGCTGAAATAGATAGGGTTAGAACCAAGGGAAGGAAGACCACTACATCTTCCCTGCAGCATGTTCCCTTCTTTCTAGGCCCAGCCACCTTGATGAAATGGCTAGAATGGAGCTGACTAGTTCAGTTGTCCCCTCTCATCCAGGGAATAACAGGGGCCCCCGGCCAGAAAGAAGAGTAGAGGTTATAACTGTAGCAGTTCAGTTACCACAAGTCCTACGGCTGGGATCAGGGAAGATGAGAGCTAAGGCCCAGGGTTGGAGCCGAGTGTTGGGTGGGACTATGAATCTGAGTACCCATCCCCAGCTTGACAGTCATGTCTGCCCTGCAGGCTTTTTCAACATGGATGGAGAGCCTAAGAGCATGACATGCCCAGCCACCGGCATTCCTGAGGACATGCTGACCCACATCGGCACTGTGGCCAGTTCTGTGCCCCTGGAGGGCTTCAGAATCCACCCAGGTAAGTCACTGCGCAGGTAGCGGGCCCATATTCGCACCCTGCCATCCACAGGTCAGGCCAGCTCAGCTCCTTTGCTTCTGTGGGGCCTGTGTACTAGTTCCTTTCAGGGTGGGCTGAGGGTTGGGCAGGTCCAGACATCACATTCACAGCTGGGGCTTGGTAACTAGTTTTAAGTTGTGCACCCTGGATTTTCCAAACACCTCTGCTGGGGCATGCCTGAATTGGGGAGAAGAAAAGCCGGGAGGTGAGGAGATCCCACGGAGGGACTGTAGGTCCTGGAATGCAGGCAAGATTCTGCAGGCAGGGAAGGTTGGGTGGGAGTATGGGGCTTGCCTATGGTGGGGAGGAATGACAGAGACAGCCCTTCATATGTGCCTGTTCAAGTTGTGTGGTTGCTGGGATACTAGTTGCCTTGGCCAAAGTGGCTTTTGCTTGGAAAGTCTGGAGGCTCTGTGTTCTTTGTGCCTTTGTGTCTCACTCTGAGGGAGAGAGGAGACTGTCTGCTGCCATAAAGACTTAGTCTCAGAAACCCCATAGAGTGTAGTGCACTTCTACTCTGTCTCAGAGGATCACGAAGATACTATGATTTGGAACTATATAAAAGGCTGAAGGTTCACCCAGAAGAGCCTTTCAAGAAAGGCCTGGTGATCTGCTTTAAAGAAAACAACCACTGACAACTTTATGGAGCACATCTCTACTCTGACACAGAGATGGGTTTGGGGGAGGCAGAAACAACACAGTAATTTTTTAACAGTTAGAAAATTATAGGGAAGGAAGAAGGCTTGTCGATAGTGAGCCCAATTAGGGGTCCATAGTACGGACTAGAGGCTGGAATGAGGATTGCTCGGGGCAGGGCACGTGGCACTGATCTCTCCTGCCTGTCAGGACCTGCTCTGTGGGGTGTGCCTGAGTCCATCTGCCCCCTCTCCAGGGCCCTGTTGCTGCTGCTGACCAGGAGGATGGCCAGGCATTTGTGATCCTCAGTCAGCACTTGCTTCCCACAGGTCTTTCTCGTATCCTGCGGGGTCGGGCAGACATGACCAAGAAGCAGATGGTGGACTGGGCACTGGCAGAGTACATGGCCTTCGGCTCTCTCCTGAAGGAGGGCATCCATGTCCGGCTGAGTGGGCAGGATGTGGAGAGAGGCACGTTCAGGTGAAGGCAGAGCTCTTGGGCCCTGGGCATCCTGGGTCTTGCTATAGTCTGTGTGTAGGTGGGGGAACAGAGCTAAGAGCCTAGAGCTGTATTTGAGGTCTCCCAGAGTTAGCCCACGGCCCTCTGGAGTGGGAATTATCTTTGCTCTTCCCTGACATTATTTGGGGTGTCAAAGGGGGGCCCATGTGTGGTTGAGCCAAGTCATTAGAATGATGCTTGGTAGGACACTGCCCTGATTTCTAGTGGGGAAAAGCTGACCATTTATTTGGTCAAGATGGTCGCTGGTGATAACTTTACAGTCCTTTAAGGATCCCTGCATATTTTCTGTATATACTGCTGTTAAGCGAGCTCTCTTGAGGTTTGCAGTGGAGTTTTTTAATCCAAATGAAGGGCTTTATGTTTGTCACTGTGCCCTACTACATTTCCCCTAGATGTTTAGATCCTGACTCTGTCACTGCCCTGTCATCCAATGATAGTGTTGTGGCGTTCAGGCTTTGGCAACTCGTCTGTCATACATGGTCACTGGCCCTGTCCTAACCAAGGTGCCAGGGCTCAGGGTTCAGTCAAGTGGCTTTTCCTGTTTGAGCCCAGGTGGGGCAGAACTGATGAGGGCATTCTGGAGCTGGCAGATCATCTCTGCTCCTCAAAGCAGGGCAATTCTCGTCAGGCCCTCCCTGTGCAAGGGCCTTGTCCTCAGGGAAGTCTGTTTGCAAGGGCCCTAGTCCACTGTCTGTGGGCCCCTGACAGTGGAAAACAGGGCTCGGGCTCCCCACTGAGCCATGCAACTCAGAGGAGCAGATCAGGGGCCCTGACTTTCCAAGGCCTTCTTGGCATTTCCATCCTGTGGTGACTGGCCAGCTAGGACAGGGCTACCTTGCAGACTTGCTGTGGACCCCACCTCTCCCTCTGTCCATCCATTCTTCTTGCTCCAGCCACCGGCACCATGTTCTCCATGACCAGGATGTTGACCGGAGGACATGCGTACCCATGAACCACCTCTGGCCTGACCAGGCACCCTACACTGTATGCAACAGCTCTCTCTCGGAATATGGGGTCCTGGGTAGGTGACAATCCACCATGGGCCCTGGAAGGTCTAGGACCAAGAGAGGGACTCAGTTCCCTAAGATGACTCAGCTGCATTGTTGTGACCATGGCTTGGGCCTAGGGTTGAGAGGAAGTGGGTCAGGCCTGGGAGGAGTTACAGAGGCCCCGGGTGGACCCAGTAGTTGGGCTAGCCTCACCTCCCCAGGTTTTCAGGGCTTCCTGGGCCTGCGGCCATCTGGGAAAGGATTCCTGTTCTCTCAGAACCTCTTAGGGAGTAGGCTTGCTTGCCTGGGTGGGGTTTGATGGATTCCAGACCAACCTCCTTTGGAGACTGGCCCAAGCAAATCACATAGAAAGTGCTCCTGAGTCCACATGGGACAAGGTCCTGCCCTTGTGTCTGTGTGATCCTGAGCTCACATCTCACTACCTTTGTCCTGCTTTGAGGTCCTTTCCCTGTTTAGGGCTGCTTCCCAGACCAGGCCTCCTCTGCTCAACTGTTTCTCCCTCTCTGTCAGGGGTCCAGTCAGCCATTCTAAGAGTTTTCCATCCAAGTTAGAAGCCGTCAGTCTGCTGGAGCTGTTCCTGCCCCTTTCCCTCAGCTGCCCTGCCCAAAACTTTAGGGCTCCTGTTGTCGGACAGCCTTTAAAAGTCTCCCCAGTCTGTTTTTGAACTAGGCTCCTGGTCTAGACATGGCTGAGCCTCGACATGCATAGCATCAGAGTGACATTTTTGGGCATCTTGAGAAATCATGACACTTGAGCTGCCAGGAGTCTCTGGGTGCTTCCTGGGCCTTTGGGAAGGGTGGCAGGGCCAGGGAGGGTACCACTTTGTGACATTGTGTGGCAGGCTCTTGCTTGGTGTCTTCTTTTCAGGCTTTGAGCTCGGCTATGCCATGGCCAGTCCTAATGCCCTGGTCCTCTGGGAGGCTCAGTTTGGTGACTTCCACAACACAGCCCAGTGCATCATCGACCAGTTCATCAGCACTGGCCAAGCCAAGTGGGTGCGGCACAATGGCATCGTACTGCTGTTACCCCATGGCATGGAGGGCATGGTGAGGCCTCTCTGGGTCTGGGGGTTGCTCATAATCATAGTATCAGAAGCAACACTTTAAAAAAACCCTCTTTGTAATATGTTTTGGAGCCCCTGGATGGTACAAACCATTAACACACTCAACTGCTAATGGGAAAGTTGGAAGTTCAAGTCCATCCAGCAGTACCTTGGAAGAAAGGTCTGGTGAACAACTTCCCAAAAATCCATCACTGAGAACTTTTTGGAGCACAGTTCTACTCTGACGCACATGGGGTCACTGATTGTGTAATATATTGACTCAGTTCTTACAGAAACTTGAAAGAGATACGTTGGCTGCTTTGCAGATAATGAAACTCAGGTACATGGAGGAGAGGTAGCTTTCTCAGGGTCATGAAGCTAGTAACTAGGATTTGAACATCTTTTTCTGCTATTTACTTTCTCTTCCCTTCTGGTGAACTCAGCCTTTTTAGCCATATTGGGGGGTGGGGGTGGTGGTGACAGAGGATGTGTAGAGGGGGACCACCCATGGAGATTACTGGAATGAAGATAGAGAAGGTGACAAGGAGCCACAGGGTGGGACTTCAGGCACGGGTGATAGGAGGAGCAGAGCTCTGTCAGCTGCAGGAATGGCAAGTGTAGGTGTAGGGCAATTCAGCCACTTAACTGACCAGTTGGCCCTGGCAAAGTACTGCGCAAACCTGGGCTCTTGGCTGCAGTAGGTGTCTCTGAGGGTCTGCTTAGCTTAAATCAGTTATCTGGTCAGCAAATCATGTTTGTCATTATCTTTGGATGGTTGTTAAAAACCAGGTACTCACTGTTCTGAGTACTGCACATGTCTGTTGGGTAGAGTCCTCACAGGCCCAGAAGACCAGAATCATTATTTTCAATGTTGCATGTGAGGAGAGTTAAGCACAGAGAGGTGAAGTGACTTGCTTAAGGTCTCACAGCTATAAAGGTCAGCCTCTTAGGAGACAGACCTTGAACTAAACTAGGTAAGGAAAATTGGTCTGGTCCATCTGGTGCCTGTGGTCTGGTGCCCTTGGGGTGCCCAGACTGATGGAGGGAAGTTTCCCCTCTGCTCCTTGGAATTCATGCCACACAATCATGGGCTCTGGCCATACTCCCTCTGAGAGTGCTATCCTCTTTTTCTTTTAGTCCCCTCTCAGAGGCCTGCCCACATTTTTCCAGGCACACCTACTGCTCCTACTCCAGGCTCCTGCATGCTTAGGGTGTCTGTTCAGTGTGCAGACCCTGCTCGCCATCAGGCTGGTGTCTGGTGTGTATTTCAGGGCCCAGAGCACTCTTCGGCCAGGCCTGAGAGGTTCCTGCAGATGAGCAATGATGACTCAGATGCCTACCCTGTGAGTCCTGCTCCAAACCCTCAGGACAGGGACTTGCCCTGCTGTGCCCAGAGGGGTTGGGCTATGGGGTGTTGCAGGGGGTGCTGCTCCCTAGCCTTAACTCTGTCCCCTCAGGCATTCACTGAGGATTTCGAGGTGAGCCAGCTATATGACTGCAACTGGATTGTGGTTAACTGCTCCACACCAGCCAGCTATTTCCATGTTCTACGCCGGCAGATCTTGCTGCCCTTTCGAAAACCTGTGAGTTGTCCTCCCTCTAATTGCAAGGACCAGAGGAGGTGGCCCTGGGGCCAGGCAGGGAGAGATGGCAGCTGGGTGTGTGCTTCCCTTCCAGCTGATCATCTTCACACCCAAATCTCTGCTGAGGCACCCAGACGCCAAGTCCAGCTTTGACCAGATGGTATCTGGTATGTGATTGGGGGAAGGGAGTAGCTCACTTTGGGGAGACCTCCAACTTGCTAACTGGTATCCCACAGCCTAATATTTTACCATCCCTTCTGCCTGTAGCTGCTTACCATGCAGTGGTTCCTAGCATAACCTACACCAGGTGCAAGGGTGGAAGTTGGTATGGTGGCCAGCTGGCTCTGAGTGTTCATTTGAGCTGGACACTGGGCCAGAGGATAGACCTGGCTTTCTCAGAAGTCATCAGCAGTGCAGTGCAGGCAAGCTGAGAGGCAAGAAGCCTGGTGGAGCTCTGCTTAGTTTTGTTACAGGATCACTGAGGATCATTCATTCATTCATCTCTGTTCACTCATGAGTCAAACGAATACAACTGCCTCTTAAGATCCAATGTCCTTCTGGGATCTCTCAGTCTCATTTACTTGGGGGTCATGGTCAGATGAAGCACATGACGAACCAGGTGTTGGAACTGAGAGTTGAAAGATGAGCTGTAGCTCAGTTGAGCCAAGCGGAAGCAGGGGTCCTCGATACGCAGAGAGCAGAGATACCTGGGAACATAGTCCATGAACATTGGGGATGGACAGGGTATTCTCAGGAATTGGGTCTAGCCTATTTACACCAGAGTTCCCTGCTGGATGGGCAGGTAGCAGCTGTGGTTTGGGATTGTACCACCTGCCCTCATTTGGCCTTCATGTTCTCATGTAGTTTAGGAGGAGCTTCTTTGGAGATTTTTTATTACATGACTGGCATAGCATCTGGCACTTGGCATTATCTCAGAAAGTTCCTTTAGTTTTTGGACATAAAAATTGACAGCCTTTGAGATGGTAGCTTTGTTGCAGAGGCCAAGGGAGGGAGGAATCTATAGCTGCCTCCTAAGGCATGTGGTCCTTTCTGTTAGGGATGTAGGGAGACTCTTGTGCTTCACAAGAGATGGATACGGTAGAGGGAATTGGTTTGGGGAGTAAAGGATAGGTGGCGATGTTGTTAGGTAAGGGCATGACCTAACCTATCTTCTTCCCAGTTCTCCCTGTCATTCCCCAACCATAACCTGAAACATTGATGCTTCCCCAAATTTTCGTTTGCCTCAACCTGTGCTTTCACTCCTTTTGCCAAGACATCTCAGGGTGTCACCGTTCCCCTGATCAAGGTTGTCCACAATAGATGCAAGTATAAAATGGGCTGGGGTGAGCCTGAGGATGCTGGTTGTGTGGGGATCTTTTGAGAGTCACCCAGCCCCTCTGGGTACTGGTGCATCTTTGGGTGATGGTACTCTTCTGGATGCTATGACCCTGGGTATGGATTTGTATTGCTATCAGTGCCCTCTGGGTATTGAAGTCCCTGCTCTGCCCTGTTGACCCACCAAGGGACCAGCTTCCAGCGAGTGATCCCTGAGGATGGGCCTGCAGTGCGGGCTCCAGAGCAGGTACGGCGCCTCATCTTCTGCACAGGCAAGGTGTACTATGATCTGGTGAAGGAGCGGAGCAGCCAGGGCTTGGAAGGGCAAGTGGCCATCACACGCCTGGAACAGGTGCACCCTCACCCTTACCCAAGAGTGGCAGATACGGTCAAGTCCTAGCCCCTATTGTTGGGCAACATGCAGACAAGGCTGGGGCCAGGGTCATGGGGGTGGCTGGCCGTGACCCTGTGACTGTTCCTGTGGGGGACAAGCTTTGGGTATATCACATGCCCCTTGACTGTACCCCACCTTTCTCCCTACTTTTCCCAGATATCTCCATTCCCCTTTGACCTGATCAAGCAGGAAGCAGAGAAGTATCAAGGTGCAGAGCTGGTCTGGTGCCAGGAGGAGCACAAGAACATGGGCTACTATGACTACATCAGTCCACGCTTTATGACCATCCTGAGCCGCGCACGGCCCATCTGGTACAGGAGAGACCTAGTGTCACTACTATCCTTCTTCCAGGCCTGCTATCCCTCTTCCAGGCACCTAGAGCAGGGAAAGGTGTCATATGTCCTATTCAGTTTCTGCAAACCCCCATTGTTCGGTGGCCTGGAATTAACCACTCCCCTACTCTACCACACATTTGAAACCTGATGAGTTGGGCCCAGGGCTTTGCACCTAAGAGTTCGGTCACTGACAGATCAGTTTTCCTAGCCAGCATCAAGGCTGTTTAGTACCAACTTTATGGATAGCAAATACTTGTTTCCGTTCTGCATTCAGAACAGAGTTAGAGAACCTTTCTCAAACCTTCTATTTCTTGTGGTTAGACCAGTGACTTAGACTCTTGGAACCTCAGGCCCTCACCATTCAGGCAGAATGGGCACAGAGGGGAGGTACATGGCATGTAAAAGTCCCACATGGTGCCTGGGAAGACAAGTGAGTAGAATGAGAAACACATGGTCGTCTTTATTGCCCTATGAGCATCTTGAGAACTAGTGGCCTGGAGGAGACAGCTGCCTCTCCCCAGTCTTGTTGGTACAGGGGCAGGGATTCAGGCATCACAACTTCTTCAGGTAGATTCCTATCATGCGGTCTTGGGGTGGGCATGGGTAGGTGAATGCCAGTCTCAGGCCTCTCCTACCTTTCTTTCTTTCCCCAGGTATGTTGGCCGTGACCCAGCAGCTGCACCAGCTACAGGAAATAGGAACACTCACCTGGTGTCACTGAAGAAGTTTCTAGACACTGCTTTCAATCTTCAGGCCTTTGAGGGCCAGACATTTTAGGGGTTGGCAAAGCCTGCTGTGGTCTTACCATGGGGGTGGCTAGAGCTGAGGGGGCTGGGGTGGCATGGCTTCTTAGGCCCAGTGATACAATTAAGTCACTCAGTGATTGAGACCTGAGAGCTTGTGTCCACAGTATGCCAACTTTGGCCTTCAGGTATGTTTCAGAATCTATTAGGATTGAGAAAACCAGAGTGGTCTGAGAGATAGCGTTTCAGTTCCAGAGTGTTCTCCAGCTACCGTGGTGTGTGTAAGTAATTGATGCTACATCTCTAGTTAATCTCTGTGAACACAGCCACTAGCAAGCCCATTTCTTTGGGCTCACTCATCCTGAAAGATTCAACTCTGTCTCCCCCTTTCTTAGTTTATCTGTAGATTCAAAGGAATGCTTTTGTGCTCTTAGAAATAGAGATTTCAGCAATAACAGCCAGGTGACATAAAATTGTGCTTGGATGATTTATATGTGCTGTTTGTTGGGGTGTGTTAATAAGATATATCAGCTTCCATGTAAAATACAGCCATAGCTCATGTGTACCAAAGTAGAAAACCAAATAACAGAGAAATAAACAATTCATAAGGGATTTTCATGTTCTATAGTAGGCAGTGGGGTGATGGTTTCAAATATGGTGTTGGATAGGAAGATAAAAACAACCTGTAGCAGATAAAATATTTGCCTCAGGATACAAAATGTATATGAGTTGTTAAAATGTAAAACTGCTCTGTAAACCTTCACCCAATTCACAATAAAATTATTTTATAAAAATGCTCCAACTACACAGATTTCTTTCATGAACCAGTATTTGTAAATCTGTTGGCATCTCTGCTTTTTTTCTTTTATTGTGGCAAAGGGGGCAGTGTGGGTCAGGGGAACTTTCCAGCCTTTCTCAAGTTATTTCTTCATCCTATTGGATATGCGAGGCACTGGGCTAGTGGGGGTAGAAGTGTGTGTCTGTTCAGGAGCCCATCTGGGGAGAAATGGGAACAGGGGAGATGGGGAGAAATTAATTCACTGAGTTCACTGATGTAGTTAAACACAGGATTCTACTGGACCAAGTACAACTTGGTGGCAGTCGGTGGGGGCTCAAGGAAGGGTCCTTGGAAGAAGTGATGTCTGGAGGGAGAGGAGTCCCTACAGGAAAATCAGATGGGCCTTCTGTGGAGCAGGCCCAGAAAAATAACTTCAGGCTTAGGATGCGACAACCTAAAGGGAAAATCAACTTGAGTTTGGAGAAGAGAATATCAAGTTTCATCAGTCTTACACACTGCTTGTCAGAGTACATCTTTAATTGTACCCCAGGAGCATTCTAAGTGACATTTGAAAAAGTTAAAAATAATCAGCCACCAGTTGCAGCATGTTTGTTGTAACCTGGGCTCTTTGCAGGGTGCTTTGCATATAGTATTAACCAAAACCAAAACCAAACTCATTGCCATCAAGTCAATGCTGATTCATAGTAACACCCCACCTCCACCCCCGTGAGTTTCCGAGATGGCAATTGTTTATAGGAGTAGAAATCCTAGTTTTTCCTCCCATGGGGTTCCTGGTGATTTAGAACTGTCAACCAGGAGGATCACAGGCCAACAAGTAACCAGTAGATGACCAGGGATTCCATATAGTATTAAATGCTGTTTAATTTTCACCATGACTTTATATGTTATGTATAGGCCTATTCCATAGCTGAAGAAATTAATATTCATGTGCACTTGTTTTCTACCAGGTCAAGGTGCTCTTCTTGGGAAATAAGTTGTTTCCATCTCTTGCATTCCTGGCGTGATATGAGGGAAATTCATAAAGTTCATGGAGACATTGCATTATCTTTAAATTCTGTTTCCTTGAACTTTTTGGGACCCTCTCACATGGTGACTGAACTCTCCCTGAAGTTGAACTGAAGCTATGTGCAGGGAGGGACCTGAGACAGCCAGTGAGAAACCTGGATTCTGAGCCTGGAGATATCCCGCACAATGGTTTGACATCCCTCTACATCTGAGGCCCAGCACAGGATCTGGAAGTCCCATGATGAGAATAGGACTGGTTGGGGAAAATTCAGAAGGATTGTTTGTTAATGAGGTTGTTCTTGTTAGGCTCCATCAAGTTGGTTCTGACTCACAATGACCCTATATAAAACAAAACAAACCACCACCTGGCCTGGCACATTCCTCAAAGTTTCTCTTATGTTTGAGCCCATTGTTGCAGCCACTGTGTCATTCCGTCTTTTCAAGGGCCTTCCTCTTTTCTGTTCCCCTCTGCTTGACCAAGCATAACGTCCTTCAGGAACTGGTCTCACCTGACATGTCCAAAGTGCAAGAGATGATGTCTTGTTATCCTTTCCTCTAAGCCCTTATGGCCTGCTAACCAGAAGGCCAACAGTTTGAAACTACCCACTACTCCACAGGAGAAAGATGAGGCTGCCTTTTGTATTCTTATAAAGACAGTCTTGGAAACCTTCAGAGAGTAGTCTACTTTGCTCTATACTATAGAGTCTATAGGGTCTCTGAGTTGGAATTGTTTCAGTGGCAGTGAGTAGATAGCCAATAGTCACAAAACAATATAAAGTTACAAAATAAATAAGCAATTTTCAATATTGGAAACGGTCTTGAATCTGAATGAAAGGTATAAAGAAATACACCTTATGTTGTGCCCCCTAAAGATGGGATGGGGAGTTTCCTATTACTAATGAATTCCATGTAGAGGCTAGAAGGTCCCCAGGTGGGACTTGTGCCTAGGAAAAGCCAATGACCCGGGGCCCCATTACCCCAATAACTCCAATCTGTTTCTGCCATAGAGTCAAAAGATGGAGGTGCTTTATCCAATCTTTGTTTTCTGATGTAACCTGGCTTTGTTAGTTGCTTGGTCTGGTTACAATAAAATAATAAAAGAGTCCATGAAAGTGGTAATAGGAGACCAAGCTCCTCTTCCTCTCCTTAAGTCAGATCCCTAGAGATAGCAAAGAAAATATTTTTTAAAGTCTAGGTGGAGAAGGCCAAGGTGGTGACCAGATAGATAGCTCATGCCCGAAGCTCCGTGGAGATCAGTAAGTGGGGACAGTTGGGGATTCAAGTAGGGGTATCAAGGCTGTTGGTCGATCCTCTAGACAGCTCAGAGCACTTCTTTGAACCAGAAACTGACTGAAACCCCATAACCTGCACTCCCTGTGGACTCCTGAGGTCTCAGGTCTACCAGCTACCTCTTTTGTGGCACTCAGGGTGCCTGCTCCACCTCAACCCAGTGCCACAGGCCAGCCAGGCCCTGCCTCGATGCTCTGGGTAGATCCGCCAACCAGTACCAGCCCCCATCCCCAGAGGTGCCCTCCCTGCCTGGGCACTCCTCTCAGACCCGCTAGCCAGTGCCCCCAAGAGGCTCGTGCTCCAGGGAAGCCAGGTGTAAGACAGAGACTTCAGCCCTATCTTAGTGCTCCACGCAAACCTGCCAGCTAGACCCCCCCACCCACCCAGAAGTCCCTGCCCCATCTTAACGTTCCCCGCAGATCCGCCAGCTCGCCCTCCCTGCCACCACCCCCCCACTTCCCGCCCCCCTGACACACACTGAGATTCTCATCCCATTGAGAAGCTGTGTGTCTGCCAGGCTTGTGACACAAGTCGGGCAGAAGCTTGTGCAGCTGCGGCATAGGGAACCAAGCCTTCTCGGCTTTCTGTTGCATTCTGCCTTCTCCCTGCGCAATCCTCCCTCGCCCCTTCTGTGCGCTGAGTAGTGGATCTGCACACTAACAGAAGTAGTGGAACTTCCTTCCCACCTGCCTACTTGTGGGAAGTACCCCTAGCCATGAACAGATCACCCAATCCCCAACCCATCCCCCAACTATGCTCCCCTGTTAGGGCCAATACTTTACATCAGACCTCAGGGTGCACAGCTGCAAAGAGCCCCTACGGAGACCTGAGGGTGGCTGGAGCACAAAGCATAGGCCAAGGCGAGAGGGAAACCCCAGCAGGACAAAGGTGAAACATAACACCTCAAGGCAGTTGGCTATAGGCAACTTACAGAAACACAAACACCAACCTCCTAAAGAGAGAGCCCAGGGCTCTGACACACCTGGGAAAATGGCACTTAGTTCCAATAAATCGACAAAAAACAGCAAGCTGCTTCAACAAGAAAAGAGAAACAAAATCCAACACCAGAGGATGACCTGGACCTAATGGCAGTCATAGAAAAGGCAGATGTTGACCTCCCACAGAAAGAAATCTTCATAATGCTGCTTGGAGGCATACAGGACATGAGGGAATCATTAGAGAAAAAGGATGAAATGATAGAGGAGATAAAGGCCATGCACCAAAGGGAAATATAAGAGCTAAGGGGCGAGATAACAAAAATACCAAACTCATGGACTTTGCTCAGCAAACGGAGGAGGCAGAGAACTGAACCAGTGACCTAGAGGACTCAGAAGCAGACATTAATAAACATGAGAAAAAGTGCAACAAGTCCATCAGAGAAGCTAAAGAAAACCTCAGAGCTATGTCTGATTCTATGAGAAGGAACACCAGAATAATTGGAATACCAGAGGAATGCATATCAAGGAAATCAGTCTCAAAAATAGTGATGGAATTTGTGGAGGAAAACTTCTCTAGCTTAATGAATGAAAACCAGGTAATTATCCAGAGGGCGAAAGAACACCAACTAGACTGAATTCCAAGAAGTGACCAAGACATATAGTTGTTAAACTATCCAACTTTGAGGAAAAGGAGAAAATTATGAGAGCAGGTAGGGAAAAACAGGCAGTCACATATAAAGGCAAGCAGATAAGAATATGCTCAGACTTATCAGTGGACACTATTAAGAAGAGGAGAGAGTGGAGCAACATATTCCAAACATTGCAGGAAAATAACGCAAACCCAAGAATACTCTATCCAGCCAAATTATCTATCAAGGTTGATGGAGAAGTGAGAGACTTCCCAGACAAGGAAAAACTCAAAGAATATGCTAAAAGGAACCCAGCACTACAAAAGATTTTTGCCAACACAGTATGGGGAGAAGAACAACACTCACCATGCTCATATAAGAAGCCACCACACAGAACAACTCCACCCAGAGACCATCAAAGGGAAAACAGCCTCCAAGATAACATTGGCTCAACAATGGAAGGAAGGCAAGAATGACCCACAAACACACACATGCACAACCCACGAAGAAAAAATTTAGGTAGGAAAACACCCAACACAAGAAGGATTAAATGACATCACAGAGTCCACAGATAGATGTAATAACCCTGAATACGAATGGAATGGACCCAGGCCTTAAGAGACAGAGATTAACAGATTGGCTTAGAAAACACAACCCCTCAATCTGCTGCCTACAGGAGACACAGCTCAAGATTACAGACAAAAAATAGCCTGAGAATCCAAGGCTGGAGAAGAACATACCAAAAAAATAGCAATTCAAAAAAAGCAGGAGTTGCAATCCTAACCTCTGATAAAATTGATCTCAAAGTGCAAACCATAAAAAGAGATAAGGAGGGACACTATATAATGTTCAAGGCAACTGTAGACCAAGAACCACGAAGCATTCTAAACATTTACTCTTCGAACAAGCAACCAGTGGAATATGTCGATCAAATGTTCCAAAAGATGAAATAAGAGATCACAGCCTCAACAATTATAGGAGGTGACGTCAATATACTGCTCTCTGAGAAAGATAGATCATTGGGAAAGAAAATCAACAAGGAGGCTAAAGATCTAAACACTACAATTAGATTATTTGACCTGATTGATATTTATAGAACTCTCCACCTAAATACCAAAAAAATCACATTCTTTTC